GGGGGAAAAGATACGTGTGTGTATCACTAAAGCAGAAATTAACCCACATCATGAGAAAGCAGTTCATGTACATGGGAGATGGAAAAGGAGAGATTTTTTTGCTGTACGCGGGCCTCTCACTGTTGTGGCCTCTCCCGTTGCAGAGCACAGGCTCCGGACGCGCAGGCTCAGCCGCTCCGCGGCATGTGGGATCTTCCCGGACCGGGGCACTGTGTCCCCTGCATCAGCAGGCAGACTCTCAACCACTGCGCCACCAGGGAAGCCCCAAGGAGAGATTTTTTACTTGAATAATGCTTCATGGACATGGCACTATTTAAGCTGAATTTGAAAAGATGTTTAAGATTCAGATTTATAGAAAAAAGAAAAAGAATTCCAGGATGTTTAAGATTCAGATTTATAGAAAAAAGAAAAGGAATTCCAGCCTAAGGGAACAGTGAGTAGAGGGCAAGGCAATAGGTGTTTATGGAGAAATGGTGAGCCATTCAAACTGGTTTGCCTAGAACAGTCTTGGTTTAGGCCTGTTTTCCCAACATACTTATTATAGGGCCCCTTTCACACTTGAAGGTCCCATCTGGAAAATTATATGACCACCTTAAACTAAGTATAGGGTATAACAAGGAAGTAGGAGGAGACTAGTCTAGAAAGATAAGACTGAATAGTGGCCCCCTTGTGCCAAAGAACACAGGTTCTTCTGTAAGTATTGGGACATCATTAAAGGGTTAATAATGTGTATTTTAGGAGGATCAGGCAGCACTTACAAGTAAGAGAGATGGGAAAACCAGGGATTTGAATACTTGTGAGGCTTTTGCAACCATTCTGGTAACATTTAATGAAGACCTGGACAAGCATAATGGCTCTTGAAAAGGGGTAAAGGCAATGATGTGAAAGACACTCCAGCTTAGCTCAGGTGGGGGCAACTCTCTCTGTAAAAGGCCAAAGAGTAAATTTTTTAGGCTTTGTGGGCTATGTGGTCTCTGTTACAATTACTCAATTCTGCTGAAAGCAGCCATAAACAATGCATGTATGAATAAATAAGGCTGTGTTCCAATAAACATATTGGAACTTTTTTTGTCTTTTACATATGGACAAAGAAATTAGAATCTCATATAATTTTCATGCACATGAAATATTGTTATACTTTGATTTATTTCAACCATTAAAAACCATTCATAGTTTGGGGACTGTACAAAAACAGGTAGTGGGTCAGAAGGCCTTAGTTTGCCAAACCCTGGCCTAGCTGGGATTATTCAGATCTACTAATCACATCAGCATTTTGAACCTTTAAGCATCCTGTCATGGAATAATCCCAACATTATTAAATCACCTGCTTTCATTCTTGGCCAGAACTGCAAGTGCCTTGAATAATGGAATCCCATTCATAACTATTTTTATCCCTCACAGAAGATAGTACTGAGCACATTTAAATCAGTCTGAGTACTTTATTTTGCTTCATCGAATTATTTAATAATGGGTTCAAGATAGAAGAGGGAAAAAATTATTCATCTTGTTAACCAACTTCAAAAATATAATCTGTCATTTTGACATGCATTACTTTTATTAGACATCTTTATAAATGCTTCACAATTCAGGTGAATGTATACCTGCTCAGGAATGGGTGCTATGGAATTGCCTTGGCAAAAAAGAAACAAATAGGCGATTTGAAGAAAACACAATTTGCAGGTGACTCATATTTTCAAAGACCTTTTGAAATACATATACGTATATGCATTTTTTCCCAACTAAATTGGCGACAGGGTAAAAAATATCCTTTCCATAAATGTCACCGTAAAGTCGGGTTATGTTTCAAGATTAGCATCCTTTTGGCAAGGTAGGGATGGAGAGGGTGGGTAGGTAGGTAGGAGACTGGTACACATCAGGCCATTGCATTTACTGAGGTTACTTCTACAATACTTCCAGAATCTCTAGGTAGTATCAACAAATGTAGCTAAAAATCTTGCTGCTGCCTCCTACACCTGCTCCTCATTAAACCATATAATTTCACGTACCTCTCCCTCACCCACCATAACTGAGTCTCGTCCTCTCTCCCAAACCAATGCTCCTAGGACAGTGCTTCCTCCTTTCCTCAGGTGTTTGAAAAATAATGTCTAATACTCTAGTATGGCAACTCATGAACAGGTGGGGAAAATTAAAGGATAAAGTCCAGTCTAAACAGTTTGTTTACTGTTTTCAAAATTGAGTAAGAAATGTGATCAATGATATAATGTTGAAGTAATATAAAATAAGGCATGCAGAGCCAGAGTTGCTTTGAGCTAAAGCTTACCCTTAAATATTAAATATTCAAATCCTACCCTAGACCACTTGGATGTTTTCCCTGGTCCAAATCCTCACTACATACCTTTGAACAACTCTTAACCTCTGCTGCATTAGGGATCTAACTCTATAAAGATAGGCTGGCTAGATGTGAGGATAGGAAAAAGAGAGGTTAACCGTGTTTCTGATAGATTAAAAAGGAAGAGTGGAAATAAAATCTGGAGCTCAGTTCCTTAGGGTCTTAAAATATGCCTTTCCCCAAGCCCAGCTCATTACGAAAAGTTCAAACATGACTATATCCAAAAGTACCTATTGTTCCATAATCTATTACTTTTCCTAAAGCTTTATGGGAACTGTTCCATTTGTGTTTGCATTATAAGAACAACTCTTTACCAGGAGCAAACGCTATTACTTACAGGTGTTTTCCAGACACTATTACCCTGTCATTCTCCAACTTTATACCTATTAACCACTTGTTACAAAGGTAACAAACCATAGCAGGTAGACCCCTCTTCACAGGAAAGGGACACACGTGTAATGGCATATGTGTGTGCCTGGGGCATGTGGCCTGTTCCAGCCTGCGTGGCATCACTGATGTGCACAACACCCACTCGTGACACCTCCTTCCTATCTAATTACTATTCTCAAGGGGCTATGAAGAAGACTAAATGAGATTATGGTGAAGTGGTCTACCAAAGAGTGTGAGGTATTCTGGGTTGAATGGAGCAGACTTTGACTAACACATGAACACTGACACAGACCTCAGGCCCTTGAGAGCGATCCTGACTTGCTGATGGTATGAGCAGAAGTAAAAGCTGGGAATAAAGCAAAATGAGGGTGGCAGTAAGGAGAAAAGGTTAAATTAGACAGTGGAAGTAGGAATGCAATCAAATGTTGTGTTTCAGGAAAGAGGCGTTGCCAGTAAGATACAGTCCTAGAAGCATACCAAATACTAAGCAATATTCTACAATTCAAATGCTTTAGTGAAGTGGCTAACATTTATTTTACATTTTATAAACTATATTTTATCCATATTTGTGGTCAAGTTTCTGTTAAAGAGTTTTGTTATTAAGTGATACTTTTAGTCCTATTTCCCCATATAAATATCCCTTCACACCAGATTTCATTCCAAGGATGTTCAAGTGACCTAACAGTTCAGACACTGGCATGTCCTCTCTGCTCTAGGCACCAGACACACAAAGATGAGGGCATGGCTGAATTTAGATGTCATTACTTAAAATGAAACATGCCACTTAATTTCAACCAACCATAGGAGGCAAAAGAGGAAGAGAGACTGAAAGATCAACCCGGACACCAACAGTGGTTGCCTCTGAGTGATGGAATAAAGGATGACATTTTCTGCCACATTATACTTCTGTACAATGTTCATTCTGGACAGAAGCCAAATTTTCTACAATGATCCACTTGGTTTGGTTTAAATATGGACACAAAAGAACAGGTACTACTGTTGTAGCTGGGAACTTTTATTTGCTAACAGACTGGTTAGGAATTTACTGCAATGAGATTTTGCTGATGTACTTGTGGTGGAAAACGTCTAAGGATCTTTAGTTTAAAACAGACTTTGAACACAGGCATGGACCTTGGAAATAATCCAATGCGACATCCACTTTTTAAAGATGCGAAAATTAAGAGACAGATAACTGAAATGATTTAAGATCACACAACTAGCTTCAAGACTAAAACCCAGGTGCCTTGACTGCCAACTCAGAGCTCCTTCCATGACACCATTTGTTTGAATTATGCTTCTCTCAACCCCACCACAATTGAGTAGCATCTGTGGTGTGTGAGGTGCTACAGGAACACAAAGATGGATCAAACCTAGTCCCCTGGCCTCAGGGAAGACAGTTTTAAAATAAAAGACAAAATGACATGTGTTCTGCTTTCATTATAGAAAACCCTAATAGCTACTGGTGAAAGATAGCATTTGATTTTTTTCCCCAAAAGTGTGCATTCAGTCAGTTAACATTCTGGTACCACTCACAAGCTATAAAGCCTCCATAATTTGGAAGGGAGGTGGTAGGGGAATGAGAGTTACAATAAGTTAACTAACAACCAATTATCCTTAAAACGTTAACTGTGAACTTCACTTCCATTACACATTTCTGTTGTCCTTCTCCAGTAATATGGCCCCCATCCCTTCGAAAGGAGAAGAAATACACTTATTTTTTCATTTGTAGTGGTTCGAAGAACCTGTGATTTAGCTCCAGACTAGAACCCTCCATAAACCATTGCAGATATTCACCTTTCTCCTTTCATGACGTTCAAGTTTTTTCTGTCTACTGAGACTTTTAGGGCCAGGTCTGCCATGGCCCTCAACATAGTGGCACAGCCCTGAAAACACACCGAGCTCCCTTCCAGTGGGAGCCCTACTATTTACGGGGCTCTGTCACCCCGTGCCTCAGACGTCCAGGGGAGTTGAGTTCATCACTCCCTTCAATTCGTTTATTCTTGCCGTCAAGGTACCTCTACCAAGCGGAATCCTCCTTTCGGCTGTCAGACCAGAGAGGCTTATTCTGACAAAGGGACAGCTGAGCGGGACCTGGGGGATAAGTGAGGGTCGGAGCTTGAGGGGTGGACGCGCGAGTGCCAGACTCCCATCAAAGACTGAACCCGGGGAGGAAAGGAACTGGCCCTCCCGCACGCCAAAATAAACCACCACATCATTGAGAAATGGAAACGTTCGCAACAGCAATATTAAAACCACTCACCTGCAAAAAGGCCACCAGCAGCAGCCGCTCCTCGGAACCGCCAAGCTGCCAGTACCTCCCAAGACTCATCACTGCTGCCGGCATCGACTCTCTTTTCTAGCCCCGGAGCCACAAGGGGCAGGTCCTATGGCTCTGACTATTGGAGGGTCAAGCTGTCACTCATTCACAGCCCCACCCTACTCCCAGGAACAGGTCGAGGTCTTTTCCGTTTTTCAAATCCCCGGCGTAGAAAGTAAGGCTCTAAATGGCTTGCTGAGGAGACGAGCACACTTTCGGGCCAGTGAGGAGCTAGCTTTGACGCTAGTGGGCGGGCTTCTGCCTAGGGAAGTAGAAAAACAAAGCCGGGAGCGTCGCCACGGCAATTGGAAAACTTCAGGAGCGCTTAAGCGGTCGAGGTGTTAGAACGTGTTTGGCGTCGTGAAGGAAATACCTACCAACGTAGAGAAGGGTCGACGGAATCTTGGAAGTGATGAGGTGATGCCTTCCTTTACTCTTGGGAAACTGCAGCCGGCGGATGAAGGTGGGCACTCCTCGCGGAGGAAAGCTCCTCCTTTCCTCATGGTTTTAAGTCCTAAACGGTGATTAAAGCAAAAGCCTTTAAAGTGCCCGATTTATGGGCAGTAACTCGTCCTCACTCTCTCCTAGTGTTGATACTTTTATAGGGATTTCCCCTTAGGCAATCCCCCGAGATTATTTTGGTTGGGGGAAGAACAGTGAACATGGAAGGCACTAAAAGCTTAGAACAGACGAAGAGAGAATGGAGTGATATGAGAATGATAAATTGGGGGGCCACGGTTACTGAACAAGGGAAATCTATGAAAATACTCGAAGCTGGGTACAGGGCCTTGTAAGCTTCTTCAAGTAGGATTGAACTACCACACAAGCCTTTGAAGCATAAAGTGTCAGAACCTTTGGGTGGGTGTGAAAATAATGATTGGTTTGTTTGCCTGACCACATGGGAAATTCTGCTTCTTGATTTCTAAAAGCTGTCCTACCTAGTGTTTAGTATCCTCTTTTGAGTTTTTCCTATTTCATCCTCATAACAAGTCCAGTAGATACGTGATGGCCAAGCAGGTCCTCAGAATAATTAAACATAAATTTGAAAAGCTAATTTCCACATTTTTAACCCTGTGACACATTATGTATTGAATTCGTTAAGATGTAAGCATTGGTAGTTAGTCCTGTATCTCCTCTATCCTTCTTAGAGCATAACAATTCCTCCTAGGATGTCAAAGAACAGACCCTTACTTCTGGGAGAGCACAAACCCAAGGACTGACAGATCCCAGCAGGTGATAGGTACCATCTAGGGACAGTCAAATTAAACTTGTACGGGATTAACTAGAGGTCAGGTCAGAGCAACTGGAGGAGGCGGCTTCCGGTCTTGACTCCCAAGAATGCAGCTTCCAAATCCTATACTCGTACCCACTTCCTCTTCCTTTTCTCTGTACCAGGTGAGGACAAAGTGAAGGGAAACCTTTTCTGCTAGTGTAACATCAAAGCTTCCTACTTAGAGTGCCCACCATCCATACTCTGGAGGATAAAGACAGGATAAAGACAAGTGTCAGTCTTATAGCATTTAGCGATACTTATCTGGACTTAAGGGCTCACTGGATTTTGTTTTACTGTTATGTATACCAGTGGAATGCTGGTTTGTCACATAGAACATTAACAACATCAAACATCACCTGCCTTTTAGAATCTCCTTGTACAGGTGAGGAATCTGAAATTTAAGAAGTTTATTCAAAATTACTTAGCTGGTTGGGGGCAGAGCCTGGGCAAGGATCCAAGGTTGCTAATTCATAATTCTGGGGAAAATGCTTCCTCTCCTGCTGCCTCTTGCTCCCCCCTAACACACACACAGACAAAAGCAATATTTTTTTAAATCAAGATTACTAATTTGAAAATTTATTTCCATTGAGACCAGTCATGAAAATTTACTTGTGATGTAGCAAACAGTATAGATAGTATGAAAATAACTCAGGGTCTCAGTTCACTACTTCAAACAACTTTTGGTGTAGTCCCACTTTCATCCAAATAAGAAATGAAAATGCAGTAAAGTATTATAGCCATGTTGTCTTTCTTTCTGTTATGTGAGTGTATCAAAAAGTCAATGTTAACACATATAGTACTTTAAGAATTAGTAGCAGATTGTCTTATTCAGGACCTGAATAAAATACAATTTTATGAAAGCCTACATACTGGGCCTAAATTTCACAGCTATTTACACAGGGCCTTTGCAGGTGGGGTTGAGCTGGTCCACCATGCATCAAAACATCATCCAGAGACCTAGGCTATTCTGCCTTGGCTCTCTCCTTCCCTCCAGCAAACTCCAGAAAGTAGTTGATCCTATATCCCCTTTACAGATTGTCTCCTTGACAATCTTATCGTTATGATCTGGTTGTTTGCTGCTAGTATCTAGTCTCCCACCACACGCTACCGTCTTTCAGGGTCAGATTAAAATATGCTCCCCGTAATCTAGTGTAACAGGCCCAAAGTGTTTGGCTCCCACCTATTGACCTATTCAGTACACGACCCCTCTACTGAAACGAAAAACTGGAAATGCCCTTTGGGATCAGCCATGTAGAACCTTAGAAGAGACTTTGAAGCCATCTGTCCCTTCATTTTACAAGTTAAAACAGAATGCTCATCTCACAGAGTAGTGCAAAGAATAACTGAGGCCATGTTGAAATAGTTTTGCAACCTCTGAAACACCTTACGTCTGCTACTTCCTTGCACTGGGAACTTTGGCACGTTGTCTGACCTCAGCCTGTGTCTTTATCTGTGAAATAGGGATAATATCTAAGTGGCCATTGTGAAAATTAAATGAGATAATGCAGGATGTACCTGGCACAAGGAAAGTGTTCAGTAAATGGTAGTTATTCTTAACAACTACAGTAATGATAAATGTAAAGTGTTTTAACTACTTACATGTACTCTTGTTTTAAGAACTCAAGAAAGTCTAGGCCTTGTGCTTTCCTCCCCTTTCCCTGCTCTCTACTCACATGGAGACCTGGCCTCCTGCAGAGATTACAGGACAGGAATTTCCTTAGTTATCTTGCTGCCACCCAGAGAGGTGACTGTCAAGATGTGAATGCCAAAGAGAGTACAGATGCACTGCGGGGCTGGGAGCCTCTGGTATTGGGAAGTCTGAACTATATGAAATTTCCCTACTGTACAACGTGGAGCATCAAGGGGTGAATGAAGTTGTCATAATTTCTCCTTGTGGAGTTGTTTTTCAAATGCTATATCAGATTTATGTATTATACTTTATATTAAAACTATTATGTTTATTGCATAAGGCTTAGAAAAGAAAAAATTTTAAACACCCACATTCCTACCACTTAGAATTTATTGTTAATTTTTATTTCCTTCTATTTTTTTCCCTATAAATCAATTATTTTAAAAAGACAGGAATCCGGGCTTCCCTGGTGGCGCAGTGGTTGAGAGTCCGCCTGCCGGTGCAGGGGACACACGGGTTCGTGCCCTGGTCTGGGAGGATCCCACATGCTGTGGAGCGGCTGGGCCTGTGAGCCATGGCCGCTGAGCCTGCACGTCTGGAGCCTGTGCTCCGCAATGGGAGAGGCCACAACAATGAGAGGCCCTTGTATCGCAAAGGGAAGAAAGAGAAAGGGAAAAAAAAAAAAAAGACAGGAATCCGTAGTATATATACTGGTTCATGGCAATATTTACTTAATTCATTATGAACATCTCCTCATGTCATTTAATATTCTTCTTCGATTAAAATTCCATCAGGTGACTGTGCCTTTGGGTATTATGTCTCACAGTTCAACCAGTTTCCTACTCTTGGGCGTTGAGGTTGTTTCAGTTTCTTTCAAAGATTCAGGGACGTAAATGTGCTGCTGCTTTCCTTAAATGACAGGGTGCTCTGGGAATGTCTGTTGAACCAAAGGTACTGGCTGCTGGCCTTCTCTGCAGAGAGGCTGATAAAGTCGCCAGGCATTCTTTTCTCTGTGGCCTGGAATTGCAGAGCTAAGAAAGCTGAAGCCAGGGAAGCCTGAAAGCTCCTGTAGGGTAGCCCCTTCACCCCTGCTCCCCCCAGAGTTTCCTGCTCTTCAACCTGAAGAAAAGGTATTGAGGTGAAAGAAATTGAGGGAGGGGTTGGAAATCAGGGCTCAATTAATAAAACCTCACAAAACTCCTGGCATATGTGTCTCCAATTTACAGATGAGGAAAGTAAGGCACAGAGACAATCTGTGCAAACCTGCACAGCTAATTAGAGAGTCTGAGTTTGACTTGGTTCTGAAATTTGAACTCTCCCCACCATGCTTCCTACTTCTTCTAAAAACGGATGGCTATAACTTCATTCTTCTTTTTTTTTTTCTGTGAGAAATTTGTTGTCAGTCTCCTAAGATTTATTGGTTATCTGCTCCCTTAAAAAAAAAATTCCCGGGCTTCCCTGGTGGCGCAGTGGTTGGGAGTCCGCCTGTCGATGCAGGGGACACGGGTTCGTGCCCCGGTCCGGGAGGATCCCACATGCCACGGAGCGGCTGGGCCCGTGAGCCGTGGCTGCTGAGCCTGCGCGTCCGGAGCCTGTGCTCCGCGACGGGAGAGGCCACAACAGTGAGAGGCCCGCGTACCGCAAAAACAAACAAACAAACAAACAAACAAAAAATTCCCTCCTGACTGTCCAAGGATTTCTTCTGCCTCTGGATTTCCCAAGTTGGCTCCCTCTTTGCCAAAAGAATATACCCTCGTTCTTTGATAAAGAATCAGACAACTTAGCTTTTGTTCACCCCTGCCCAACATTTGCTAGTTTTCTTCCCAGAGTGTCCTCACTATATGCCTTGGAAGGTCAAACTCATAAAAGGAAGTTCTCATAAAGCCTGCATAAAGTTAACAATGTTACACATAGTTCCTTAGCTTTGGGGATTTATAAAGTATGACTATGTAGAGAGCAATAAGTCTGTTTTTCTGGTTTGGTTACAACCTGGTTCTAAACGAATTTCTAAGAGGCTTTACAGAATTGTTTAGAGCCATGCAGCATCATTAAAATGGGTGTATAACCTACCAATATGACACTTTTAAGGCAGTAACACATATTTGGAAGTGTAATTTCTGGAATGTTTTGTTAAAGGCTCTATATATAATAGAATATATAATCAGAATCAGTTTCAATCAAGAAGATAACTTTTCTCGCTCTTTTTTTTTTTTTTTTGGTATTTATTTATTTATTTGGCTGTGCTGGGGCTTAGTTGCAGCACACGGGATCTTTGTTGCGGCGCACGGGCTTCTCTCTAGTTGTGGCACGGGGGCTCCAGAGCGTGAAGTCTCAGTAGTTAGTTGTCCCAGGCATGTGGGATCTTAGTTCCCCAACCAGGGATCGAACCCGTGTCCCCTACACTGGAAGGCAGATTTTTAACCACTGGACCACCAGAGAGGTCCCAAGAAGATACCTTTTTTCCATCCTTCCTGCCCCACCCCCCATACTATACCAGTACCCTAGCCCAAACTACCATCACCTCTTGCATGGATTTTCTCAGTAGCTTCCTAACAAATCT